GTATCTTTCTACTGTCAAATCATCTCTTGATTTGATTTTGAATTCTCCCTGGGAAAATTCTAATATATTACCATAAGTTAACCATTTCTACTTAGTTATAATTTCTCTTCTATAATATGGTTCTTGTGAGAGCCACAGAGATATCCACAATCTGGATTTACATCTATTCCATATTCTCAATATGGTTCATCTAAGAAAATGATTTTCTTTAGCTTTATCATACTAGAAATAACCATGCCACCCAAACCTCTAATTGTGTCCTTCTAGCTCTAATAATCTATTTCTCAGCATCACCCACTCTTTCAAGCAAACTAAACAGCAAGTTGCAAAGTATAATTTCAAATCATGTAAACCCAAATCTCCTCTTTATCATCTTGTAACACCTTATATTTGACTCGTGGTTTTAAAGGATCTTCCAAAATCAGTACCAGACATCTGCAAAAGCTCTCAACTTGTCTTTTTAATTTTTACACCCATTATACTCTCATTTTGCCTTTCATCTCTATTCAAAACTTCAAAAACCAAAATAAACAGAAGAGGGGATAATGAGCAACCTTGTCTTGTTACTTTTTGTGTCTCAAAAGGTTTTGTTAGATCTCCATTAACAATAATGTTTTCTGTGAGGTATAATTTGATTTTACAGATTTTATAAAATTCTCTCCTAAGTTCATATCTTCCAAAACTTTAAATAAAAAGGGCCAGTTTAAGTTGTCAAAAGCTTTCTCTGCATCTAAGAATATTAGCGCAGCTTGTTTTTCATTATGCTGTTCCAAGCGTTCTATAATATCCAACACGATTCTGACATTGTCTTTTAATAAAGTATCTCCCTCTTGAAGTTTCAAAATCAATTTCTTTTCTCTTTTCTTAATTTATATGCTAACCATTTCCCTGGTTTGTTCACGAATTCAAAATTCTTTTGCTTTGCATAGTTCATCTTTATTTTCATTTCTCTTACTGTTAACATAGATAACTGTTGCTATCAAAGTTTAATTTGATGTGAAATGCTTGTCTTTTCTGGTGATTTCTTTAATTCTTCCTCTTTTTATCTCATCGAAAATAGACTGTATTTTCTCTTGAGTCTTCTTTTTAAGTTTAGTATTACATTGTATGAAGTAACCTCTAATGAAAGCTTTACTTGTATCCCAACCATTCTTAAGTCAGTTCCTTTAAGTTATTTTCAAAAAATTCTATTAGTTCCTTTTTGCAATCCTCCACTATTGACTCTTTCTGTAATAATGTTTCATTTAATCTCCATCTAAAGGAAATAGGTTTCCTTTTAAAAATGAGACTCACAGGATTATGATCAGAGAAAGTCTTTGGTAAAATCTCAACTTTAGAGATCTTAGTAGCCAAATTATTTGAAGTCCAAATCATATCTATTCTTGAAAAAGATCTATGTCTTTCTGAAAAATAAGTATATTCTCTAGAGTTGCCATTTTTCATATATCCACTAGGGGTAAGTTATCCATCAAATCAAAAAAAGCCTTCAGTAATTTACCTTGAGTAATTTGAATATTATCTAATATTCCATCACTCTATTCCAATCTCCCACCAAACACCAGTTTTCATAGGAAAAGCTTGTCAGTTGCTCCATAAGTCATTTATAAAAAGTTCCTTTATCCTCATTTGAGGCATAAATTCCCAATACTATAGTTTTAATCCCTTGTAATTCAACTTCCAAATTCTGGTTTTAGTTGGGGGTTAATGTATAAAACAACTCCATTTATTTTTTTAAGTCCAGTTGATATAAATTCTTCACCCAAATTTTTACAAGTCAGATATTTTATGTCCTTTTTTCTAATATGAGTTTCTTGTAGACAAATTATATCTTGTTTTAATTTTTTCTAAGTA